GTGTGTGATGTGTGTGTGTGTGTGTGTGTGTGTGTGTGTGTGTGTGTGTGTGTTGTGCGTCGTGTATGTGATAGTCAGAGCGTACACATTCTCTCTGTTTCTCTTTCGCTCTTTCTCTCTCGCTCTCTTTCTCTCTGATTTGTTTAAACAGATAAAATAAATCTACATCCAATTTCGCTTCGCGAATGATAATTCCATTAATTTAATCGCCTGCATATTTGTTTTTACCGTTTATTAGTAAGAGAACACAGAGTCCTCTTCTAGGGGAAAGATTTTGTTTTCTTCCCTCTAAAATCAGTTCGTGGCTATTTAAACTCCTAAATGCTGGCTACGTCGATTTTATCACTAAACCTAAACTCCTTATACAATATCATGTACGGATTATCTAGCCATATTACTTGCTCAACTTAGAAATTAATATTATGTACTATGTACAACACACTTAGTGTTACAATTTTTTTCCCGTTTTCTCTCAAACCCACCTCACCAAGGTGACAGTTGATTTCCCGGTTGCCAGAACATTCCGATTCGCTATCTCGATTCGCCCACGCGTGCCAGAACAGCGTTGTACAGTATTTTCCTCGACGTATCTCGCGTTTTCCTTCTCTCTTGCTCTTCTCCTTTCTCTCATCTTCAGTTCGGACTATAGACTACGCTTTGCACTGGTATGTAACACAGTTGAATCTATTAATCCCAGATACATCACAGACTCATTCCAAATAAAAACACATACGCCCTCATAAGCGTTGTATATTATTACCGCTTCACGATTACATATCTCTTTTTCTCCTCATTTATGTACAAAAGAAGCGTCTGTATTGAACATGGGATATACATATATAGACCTAGATGTTTCACAGATCGAATGCTTGCGCGTATATCGACGTCTTTTTGCGGACTGATCAAGCCCAAGTCAACGTAAAAAATAATAATTCACCTCGATTGAACGACTAAAGCTTCGCGCATTCAGTATATTAGATACGAAACAGAATGGGTATTTATATCGAGTAACGACTCTAGTTTACTTCTTTTGCGAAACGAAACGCTAACATACACATATACATTCGCGCGAGTATCGAAAAAAACCTAAAAAGTGAAATATATATATATATATATATATATATATATATATATATCTGTATGTGTGTGTGTGTATT